CTGTGAGATCACAGAAAACCCCTTTTTTTCTGCCATTTCAGGCTCTCCCAGCGTGTCCCATACAGGCCACATGTGAAGCTGCTTCCAAGGAGGAGAACAAGGAGAAGAACAGATACGTGAACATTCTGCCCTGTAGGTATCGGAGCTGGTCAGGTGTGTGTGTGGGGGGAACACATCCAGTGCTCCTGCCAGGGCTCCCCATTCCTGGTTTTGGGATGGGCAGGGGCATGGTTGAGGTCATTTCACCTCCCAGGTGGGTGGCTGTGTCTGCTTTAGCTTTTTACAGCTGGAAGGAGGAGCTCCATGGAGCTGTCAGCAGCCAGGAGGCTGTGGAGAGTGAAGCAGGTGGGAAATGCCCAAGGGGGCAGCTCTTGCCTGGTGGCTTTGGGCAGTGGGCTGGCTCAGGGTGTCCTCAGGTGGGCACTCTGCAGAAGAAAAACTTCCTTCAGGCAAGGTTTTAGCACCTCTCCAGGCTCAAGCAAGAAGAATTTGGGGGCACAAAGGTGTTTTTTCGTGGGAGCCACTGAGGGCAGGCTCTGCTCCAGCACGTGGCTTTCTCACTGTGCCACGTACCAGCTGCATGGAGGGAGTTGTTTTTAATTTTGGGTTTTAATTTTCCCCTAGATGATCATTCCAGGGTCCACCTGACTCCTGTTGAAGGGGTTCCTGACTCCGACTACATCAACGCCTCCTTCATTAATGTGAGTTTGTGGGGATTTGAAGGGGGAAATCCCCACTGGCTCTGCCCTGGCCAGTGGTGTCTGATCCCACCATCAGTCTGGCTGGTTTGGAAAGGGGTTGGGAATCACTCCTGCAGCAGCTGGGGGTTTGTGATTAGCAGCTGATGAATCAAAAAATCATTTAGGTTGGAGAAACCCTCTAAGATCACCAAGTCCACCATTCTGCCAAGGCTACCACTAACCCATGTCCCCAAGTGCCACATCCACACAGCTTTTAAGTCCCAGAAAAGTGTGGCCAGTTACTTCCCAGCTTGCAGGGCTGCATGTAGGGAAGGGGATGAAGAAGAAATCGAGGGATCCAGCTGAAATGGAAACAACATTGCCCTGCTCTGCTCCTGGGAGGGGACGGGTCCTGTGTGGTTGTCACTGTGTGGCTCAAATCAGCTGGAAGGGTCACATCAAGCAAAGCAAGACCCAAAAGAGCTTTTTCGTCTCCTTCCCGCTAAATAAAATACACAAAATCAATCCCCATGAGCTCAACAGCCCCTTCTCCTAGAGGTTAATGCTGATTTTCACGTGATGCTCTGGATGCAGAGTCTGATCCCAGTGGAAGAGCTGTCAAGGTACCACTTCATTAGTGCCTTGTGCCAATGAGTGGGGTCATTCCTGCATCATGTGAGTGTGGGGAGTGTTCCTTTGGGAAAACTGCCCGTTGCACAGGGATTTTCCATTATTTCTGCCCCACTGTCGGTGCTGTTTCTCCCCTTGGAACGCTGCAGCCCCTACTCTGCACATGCAGGAATGAGCAGCAGAGAAGGTGCTGGTTCTGTTTGTTACTGATGTAGATGCATTTTATGACTCTTGCGTTGGACAAATATTCATTTCTCTTCTTTTTTCTCCTTTTCTCTGCAGGGGTACCAAGAGAAAAACAAGTTCATTGCTGCACAAGGTAAGCTCCTGGTTATTCCTGTAGCCCTGGTGGGTGGCAGCTGGGCTGGGATCCCTCTGCTCAGTGGTCTTCAGAAGTCCAAACACATCCCTAAAACCAAGATTCCCACTCTCACAGAGAGGTTCATGTCAACAACAGGGTGCTGCCTGCCCATGGGAGTGTTTTGTGCATCCACTCTTGACTTGCCAGTGGATCAGAGCATTCATTACCAGCCAGTTTCCCTGGCTCTTCCTGGAGAGGGAAGGCTGGATCAGGTCCACCAGCACTTCCAGGCTCAGGTTAAGCTTTGGCTTTGCTGTTCCCTTGGCTCACCCTTAGCCTCAGGCTTGGCAAGGGAGTCCAGGCTGAGTTAGCTCCATGTCTGGCAGAGAGCAAGGACCTCTCCCTGTGCCACATGGAAATGAGATCCCATGGTTAAAGCCCAAGATCCCAGGGTAGGATTTCTGCGGACTCAAGAGACGGCCACGATTTCCCCGGGTGACCTTGGGCGAGTCGTTTCCACGTTCTGTTTGTCTGATTTCCCCTTCTCCAGCTAAAAATGGAATTCCTACTCATAAAACTCATCCAAAAATCCCAGCTGTTGTGTGATAGGATTATTCCTTGAGTCAGACAGGTCCAGACACCAAAGCACCTCCTGTGTTGGCATCTCTTGGCAAAAAAAAATGTGCCGTGTCATCCACGCCGTGTGACCCCACACGCTGGGTTTTGGTCCCAAGTCGTGAGGAGTTGATCCCAAAGACAACGTTTCCTTTCACCTTCCCCTCAGGACCAAAGGAAGAAACAGTGAACGATTTCTGGAGGATGATTTGGGAGCAAAACACAGCGACCATTGTCATGGTGACCAACCTGAAGGAGAGGAAAGAGGTGAGTGCCGGAGGGCTCCGTGGGCTGGAACCTCATGCCCCTGGGCGTGTCCTGGAACCATTCCCAGGCTTGTGAGGGTCCAGAGCTCACCTGCAGCTGTTTTCTCTCCCCACAGTGTAAGTGTGCCCAGTACTGGCCGGATCAGGGCTGCTGGACATACGGGAACATCCGAGTGTCCGTGGAGGACGTGACTGTCCTGGTGGATTACACCGTGCGGAAGTTCTGCATCCAGCAGGTGCCAGGGCTCATCTCCCATCCCATCCCTCCCCATTATCCCATCCATCACCATCCCAAAGGTGCTGTGAGATTAGAGTTGGGATGGGATGATCCCCACCATTCACTTTTAACCAGAGTATTAAGAATTTATTAAAACACCAGGGAGCTCATTCCCGGTGTGGCTGGTAGCGAGAACAGGGAAGCTGATGGATGCCAAGGCTGAAATTCCATCCTGTAAAAACAAGTGTTGGTTCCTGCTCTCACCCACAGACACTGCAAATAATCAGATTTATCCCACCAGGCAAGACAAAATCCAGCCCCGTGTGCGTTGGGTTTGATTGGTTTCCCATCTGTCACCACATTTCCTTGTCCTCCAAGGAGACTCTGGGTGTTTTGGTCGCTCTGTTTGTCTTCCTGCTGCTCTCAGAGGCAGGCAAGGAAGATCTGGTGCCTCAAAACCTGTCTGGACCCCTGAGTGTGATTCTCCTGAGCCTCATCCTTCACTCCACCGGCCTGGACATGGGTGGTTTCCTCCCCTGCCTTAAATACAAGGATCATGTGGGAAAGGATGGAGCAACAGCTTCTGTTTGAGCTTATTAGGAATGAAATATGGCAGCTGCTGCCAGGTTGGAGCCACAGCCAGGGCCAGGCTGGCATCTTGCACCCCTCAGATGTGGGATGTGGTGTCGGGCGATTAAAATGTCATGTTTTCACAGACTAATCTGTCCCAGAGCCTGGGTCAGAGCCTGATCCCAATCCTTTCAGCTGTGGATGCTGCTTCGTAAGCCATCCAGCTCCACCTCAGGCCTTTAACTCCCTGCCTGCCCTTGATTTTGGGGGGGAAAAAAAAAGGAACCTGAGGGTTTATCGTTAACCTGGGCACCGGTTCCCCCTCAGGTCGGGGACGTCACGAACAAGAAGCCCCAGCGCCTGGTGACTCAGTTCCACTTCACCAGCTGGCCCGACTTCGGGGTGCCCTTCACCCCCATCGGGATGCTGAAATTCCTGAAGAAGGTGAAGACCTGCAACCCCCAGTATGCAGGAGCCATAGTGGTGCACTGCAGGTGAGTGGGGCTCACAGCTGACTTTTAAAAGGAATTTGTTATTTTTTTTTCAGTCGAGACTTTTTTATTATCTTTACGTTTCCCGTGGGAACATTCAACGTTCAAAAAAAATGCGTGAGAACGGAAGGAAATGGTTGGGATCAGTGATGATCAGCTCATCTTGAGGGGGTCGTTTGAGTTGGCTGGGTGTTGAGTGAGCCAAGCTGAGCACCAGTGCTGGGCACTGGGGGCATCTCCCTTGGTTCTCCAGGCGCAAGAGGACAGCACCTCTTGTTGGGAGAAGGCTGTACTGAGCTGACAGATTGCCTGGAGCAAGGACCGTGGTGTTAGGCCTCATGTGGACGGGTTTCAGCAAGCCTGGGGGAGCCACAGAGGCTTCCACATTTCAGTGTGGGGAAGCCCCACAGTTAAAGGCCAAGATGGTCATATTTACCACCTCCCAAGCCCATCTTTCATTCTTTCTTTTGAGGCAGCTGGCACAAGGGCTGTGTCTTTCCTCAGTGTCTGCTGGCCTCATACTTTTCCTTAATGGTTGAGTTCCCAGCACAGACACAAGGCTTGTCTTCTTGTGGTAGAGGTTGAGTGGATGGAGCATCAGGCAGCCTATTAGGACTCTGGATCTTAGAGATCATCTCTTTCCAACCCCCTGCCATGGGCAGGGACACCTTCCACTAGCCCAGGTTGCTTCAAGCCCTGTCCAACCTGGCCTTGGACACTTCCAGGGATCCAGGGGCAGCCACAGCTTCTCTGGCCAACCTGTGCCAGGGCCTCACCACCCTGAAGTCCATCTCTGGCTCCTGGCTGCCCCCAAGGCCGCTGCCCTGACGGGCTGTCCCTTGCCTTGCAGTGCCGGGGTGGGACGCACGGGCACTTTCATCGTCATCGATGCCATGCTGGACATGATGCACGCCGAGAGGAAGGTGGATGTTTACGGCTTCGTGAGCCGGATCCGGGCTCAGCGCTGCCAGATGGTACAGACAGATGTAAGTGTGGTGCTGCCATCCCTGCTGGGCTCTGCCCTGGGCTTGGATTTCCCTCACGTGGCCAAAGCCTGGGTGGGAGTTGAGCATCGTCCCTCCTTTTGGGTGGGTGCTGCGTCAAGTGAGCCCTTCACTGGGTCCTGCTCTTTTTAATCCCCTTCCCAGAGTCA